GGGCCCATCAAAGATCCAGTTCCAGAAGCCAGACCACCTAAGTGGGACCCTAATAAGCACTGCAAATATCATCAAGCTAAGGAAAGGGTCACGACACTGAAGAGTGTTGGAAACTCAAAGAAGCTATTCAAGATCTGATCGATAACAATGAAACTTTCGAGATTCTAGCCATCGAATATGACCAAGCGTCCTTTGATCCATCACTTCTTATCACACCTGTAGGAGAGCCCATGACCGAGACAGCTTATATGACCTCTCTCGACGAAGTGGCCATAATTGAGGAAGATGAAAGTATTTTCTTAGATAATACCAGGGAAGACTCGTCAAGTCTAAAAGAGGACGTTCGAAAACTGCAAGATGTCATTGCCATGCTCTTGAATGTGGTAGAAGGATTAGCAAATCGGGTAATGGCCATCGAACAAAATTCTCGCCAAGGGTTTAATGAAGAACTCAATGCTCCTAAGCCACAGAAAAAATGGACCATTGAAGAGTACACACTAATAGGATTGACTTACAATGAAGCTTTTGACTGTCTTCACGATCAAGGTCTTATCCACCCCATTGGTCCCAGTCAAGACCCTCCGCCTGAAAAATGGTTTCGCAATTGGGATCCAAATTCTTATTGTCGATACCATAGAGGTCGTGGTCACACCTCCGAAGTATTTCTCGCCCTCAAAGATCGTGTTCAAGATCTCATTGATTCAAATCTCCTTCATGTTCCTCCACGCGACAAGAAGGCCAAGATTAGTAACAATAGTAACAGTGGTTGTAAAGGGAAGAGGAACGACTATCCTTCTTCTTCCGAAAACACCTACTCTAGTAATAGTGTTGGTACTTTCGACCTTAGTGAGATCCTAGCCATGGGTAATCGAAAGCAACCGAAAAGGGAATTTACCCCTATTGGAATTAGCTACGATGATGCTTTCGATCGACTCCATGCCAAGGGAATCATTACTCTCATTGGACCTATTCAAGATCCTCCACTTAAGAAAAGATTGCCTAGTTGGAATCCAAACGAACACTGCAAGTACCGTCAAGGTAGGGGTCATGCTACCGAGAGCTGTTGGAAGCTAAAGGAGGCTATCCAACATTTGATTGATAATAACAAGCTTCCCATACCTCCGGTTAATAAGGAAAGCGAGTGATGATAAAGAAAACAACACAAGACAGAGGCGAGCTTCAACGACAAGATTTCATGACCTCTTTTTCTATTTCTTTTTCATTTTTTCCTTTCCCCAATAAGTCTAGCATAGGCACCTTTCTTTTCCCTTAGATTACTTTTGTAGATTCTCTATTTATTTTCCTTTAATAAAATGAGCATTTACTTCCTTACATATGATCATTTCATTATATTACATCAACAAAAAAAAAAAAAAAAATCCATGTCGAACTAAGCACAAGGTATACCAATGATTTGAGGCACCCTTGTAGCCACATCATATCTCCTTTCACCTTTCTAATTTACATCCTTTCTTCATAAACCACTTTGAGCCTCGTCTAACGATAGACCTTTATTTTTTTCAACCTGCATCTATCTAACCTTGGGATGGGACAGTGTGCAACTTATGCAATTCTTAAAAATCTTGAGCAAATTCAAAAGAAAGCAATAACAAAAAAATAAGAAAAGATAAAAAATGAAAACAAGTGTACAAAAGGGTAAGTGTTCCAATGTCTTTGATATGAAAATATCTTTGATAAGAACACGTCTCAGATTGCGTCTCTTATCGAGTGCTCGGTACCATGTCTGAGAAACATGAATGCCAAGTGAGTGATAGACCGCATGATCGGGATTGCCCACACTTATGAAAATAAAATAGATACTAAAGCAAAAAAAAAAAGAGCTAAAAAGAGTAGAAACTCAAGCATAAAAATACAAAGATTCAAAAGCAAGGTTGCACACCTTGGGGCCTTATCTAGGGTTTTGAGCCTTTATCCCCTTCTTCTTCATCCTTTAACCTAACCACGTTACAACCCTTAAAAGACCTTTTGAGGTATACATACACTTGTGCGAGGTTCGACTAGAGCTACGTTCGGCCTGATTCCTAACGGATACGTAGGCAACCTCACATCGAGGTGCGACCGTAATAAAAATGCATTCATATTCACATTCACACACTTACACCATGATCATATCAAGGGATATCCTATGCTCATCCCTATTCACTTAGAGCTAGACTTGGGGGCTTGATCCCTACATCATTAGCTTACCTAGCCTAAGAGTCACCATCATTTGAATCTTTTCAATATTTTTCCCACACACTTAGCCCTTGCGACCTAACTTTAGTGTCACTATCATACACTGCACACATACATGACCAAATATACTTCCCTTTTGGACGCCACCGTACTTTAGTATATGATCACAGTGGGGTTCAAGCTAGGGGTTAATGCTTGAAATCTATTCCCTACACTAATAAAGATATATATGTTGTTCATGTTGGTACTACTGATGATCTAGGGTTCTTAGCTGACTGTATATTGGAGTATAGGATGAAACAGAATAGGACATGGCCACCCCCTTGGTATCCTTATTATGGTGCTCAACCACCAGTTTGATAAGGTTTTTTTGAGTTTGTTGTGTGTCACAGTTGGTTCATTTTATGTTATGAGTTATAATGGCTCTTGTTTTGCTAATTGTAGGAGTAAAAATGTCTTGGAATACCCTATCTCCCTCAAAACAGGAGAAATGTAATTGTGGATTTCCACTTGCAAGGCTGACATCTTGGACCAGGGAAAATCCAGGGCGCAAGTTCTTGGCTTGCAAATTTTATGATCCAAACACTGACAGAAGGGGATGCAAATCTTTTGAATGGGCTGACTCAGAGGATGGCACTGATTGGTAAAGGGAAGTGATTAACCAGCTGGTGCTTGACAAAAAGCTAATGAAAGGTGAGATGAACTCTTTGCAAAGGGAGGTGGATGATCTGGTTGGGCAAAGGAGGTGTTTGATTAATGAAGTTGACACATTGAAGATAAATGCAAGGCTTTGTCTAGGGATTGGAAAAGGATGACAAGCAACAATGGCAATTCTGATAGGGTTAATAACTTGGTTGTATTAGTTGCAGTTGGTGTAATTCTTATGGTTTAGGAATTAGTGTAGTAATTAAATTGGTTTGGGGGAGTTTGGGGGAAATCAAGACATAAATTTTAGTTTGAGGATGTAATGATTTTATTTTTAGTTGTTTAAGCTTTCTAGTTAATTTGGAGATCTTATGTATGAATTCACAACATTTTGGCAAATGAATCTATGTTTGTTTTGGCAACATATTTGAGTTGGCTTGGATTCATATGATATAAATATGTATATGTTCATATGATATAAATATGTAAGCCACATAGTAGAATTAGTATGTTCAAAATATGATATAAATATGTAAAAATGTAAGCCACACACTACCAAAAGTCTAGTTAATCAGATTCATATGATACAAATATGTATATGTTCAATGGTAAGCCACATAGTAGAATTAGTAACTTCAAAATATGTTCATCTACATAGAGGCAAGGGGTAGCACGTGCTACCCCTCAAGGGGGAAAAAAAATCGGCAAAGCTATAGCAGTTAATTTGTATATATATTATTCCTTAGTATAGCATAATATGCGTTGGTTTGGTGGTGATGGAAGAATGGATAAAATTTTGTGTGTATGTGGTAGGTCAGAGGTTCGAGACCTCTAGGTTGCTGATTTTTTTAATTTTTTTTTTGTATCCCTTTTAAATGAAAACTTTCCATTTTCATATGAATTACTATGTAGAAACAGTTTTCTAATCTGCAATACTCTCTCCAAGTCTCCATTCATATTAATTCTTCCCGGCTGCTAATTTATTTATTTTATCCATTTTAATTGAAAACTTCCCATTTTCATATGAATTACTATGTAGAAATAACTTTCTAATCTACAATACTCTCTCCATTCAAATTAATTCTTTCCATTTTCATGCATATCTTGTTTTTCAAAGCTCGTATTTAATCATTAAATTGTTTAGTACTCTGTATTAAATCATTAAGCTTGTATCTAATAGTACTCCATCTGCTTTTAAATACTTGCTTTATTTCTCTATGTAAGGAGATTTAAGAAAAATTGGAGAAAGTAATAAAATATAGAGGTATTGGGGTTAGAGAAGAGAGAATCCAAAGTCAATAAAAAAAATCATTTTATTAGGTCCCACTAGTTAAGAGAAATGAATTAAATATTGTAAAAGCTTTCTAGATATATAAGGAAATGGAGCAAGTATTTAAAAACGGCTGAAAATGAAAAGTGGAGCAAGCATTTAAAAACGGATGAAGTATATTATATTATATTACAACTACTTTATGAGATGTAGTTATTCACGGTTTTTTAATACGTTATCTAATACGTAGTGCTACCCCTAGTTAGAAATCCTAGATCCGCCAGTGAATACATTTGTTAAATTGTCAAAATCAACAGGCCCTAACAAAGATCTAACTTAACACTAATTTCCTACTTAAAATTCTTGCTTGACTTGGATCCTGGTTGCTTTTTAGCTGTAGTACTTGTTGATGCTTGGCTGCACAAGATTGGTTCTGCTCCTGCAGACTTCCTTGACCTTATATTTGATCCTTGTGATGATGCTGGTGGCTTTGGTGTTGATGCTGATGCCCCTGCAGATTTTGAAGCTGCTGCAGCTGCTGCCCTTGTTGATTTTGAAGCTGCAGCAGCTGCTATCTTTTTCTTAGCCTTCTCTTGAGGGAATTTTTTGTTCCCAATGCTATTAGGACCTGCTGATGCCCCAGGAGTAGTCTGTACACAAAAAATGGAAATAAATAACACATTTATAACAGTAACTAACTAACATCAAATTAACAAAACATGAACAGAAGATCCTTTCTCACCTTGTTTAAAGCTCTAGCTGCTTTAATTATCCTTTGTTCAACCACCCATGGAGTGTTTACAACACTCTTGCCCTTTGTGCAGGCTAGGATGAAGGTTGGGGGTACTTCTGCAACTACATTGGAGCATGTCTTGGCATAGTGACCAAACTAAGCACACTTTTGGCATATTTTCTGCTTTTTCTGTGTACTGCCCTCTGCTGCACCCTCACCCCTTTCCATCTTTCTTTTTTTGGACTTAGGCCTGCCAGGCATCACTCTCACGGGTGGAGGCAGTGGCTCCCTCATGTTAATCTTTTCCCGGGGACCTGGCATAGGCTGTATTGACAGATCATATGCCTCTATATACCTCTCCCTTGTGTAGTAATGGTCCACATACTGTTCTGGATCAGTTCTCTTGTCAAGTATGCAAGCAAATCCATGCACACAAGGAAGGCCAGTTAATTGCCAATGATAGCATGTGCAACAACTGTTTTGGAGGTCAACAATCACTTGATCAGCATCCGCCAAAACCCAACCCAAGAAACCCCCAACCCACAAAAACACCATCCGCCAAAACCCCACCCAGGAAAAACACTCCCTTTCCCACGAAACCAATCACCCATCAAGACCCCACCCAAGAATCGGTTATTTCTAGTGCTTGAATTAGAGTGTGGCTTTGATGTTCAATTATCCAATAATGGTGCTAATCCATGAGGAGGAGAGAGAATCAAGAACCCTAATTTTTTTTTTTTTTGAAGAGGAAAGAGGGGAATGAAAATGGAGGGGGATTGCTCTTACTAAACTACAAGCACTCCTTTTTTTTTTTCCCTGTAATAGTTAACCTTAATTTCTTAGTCATGTTAGCTTTAACGGAATTTTAACGAAAAAATATCATTAAGGTTACAGTTGAAAATTTATAAAAGTATATGGCTACAAAAAATAATCGAAATAAAAATTGGCTACCATTGAAAATAAGCAAAAAAGAGTACTATCATTGAGAATTTCCCAAAAGAAGTTAAATTTTTTTTTTTCTATTTAATCAAAACCTAACTATCTTAACTTAACTATAGTGTAAAAGACCTCTAGTGAGGATCTTTCCAATAGGAAGACTACAAAAACATCAAACCGAATCTATAAAAAGAACCCCAGTAAATGATCACGCAATCAAACATTCAATAAACACTCTCCTAATTCCTAACCAACAATACAAATTCACAACAACAAAAACAGAGATTCTAATTTTAATTTTAATTGAAGAAAGTGTAAATCTTTGATTGATTTAGGGTTTTTGCCAAATTAGGTTGATAATATGAGAAAGAGGGAAAGAGAAAACCCATGTTTGATTTGTGGGCATTACCACAAGTATGAAGAAGGTGAAGTTTGTGGGATTTGCGGGCATCGAATGCCGGAAACTTCTGATAAAAGTTCCGTTCAATCGGGTGCTTTTCCTTCTGAGATCTTGCCTGATTTTCTCTTTCTGGGTAGTTATGATAACGCTTCTAGGTCTGAACTTCTTAAGGCTCAAGGAATTTCCAGAATTCTCAATGTAAGTTTTGATCTTTTGGATACCCTTTTGATTAAATTTCCCTTTTTTCATTGATTATTGTTTTTAATTGTATTTATTTGCTTCTTGATTTGATGGGTAATTTGAATTTAGGGTATTCTTGGTAAATAATTATTTTTGGTTTATTGGGTGTATGTTTTAAGTGTTGTTTTATAATGCTCTTGAAAATTCAATGCTAGAAGATAGACCTGTACTTTGGTTGGGCCTTTACTCGAATTAGAGGATTGGGGTTTGTATGTAGCACTTTGTAGGGTTCAGTGTTGAGAATGTAATCAATGGTGAAGTCAAAGTTTGACAATTGTTTATATTTTTGGTAGTTTGGGATAGAATGATATATATAAATTCAGTATTCGAATTGTTGCCGACATTCGTGATGGATAATGTTGCTGAGAGGGACAAAATTTGGATGAAAATAGAGACCAAGATTTGGGGACATGTATGGAAATTATTTATCTGTATAGTCGTCTTATTTTACTTCTTTGACAATTGTTCATATTTTTGGTAGTTTGGGATAGAATGATATATATAAATTCAGTATTCGAATTATTGCCGACATTCGTGATGGATAATGTTATTGAGAGGGACAAAATTTGGATGAAAATAGAGACCAAGATTTGGGGACATGTATGGAAATTATTTATATGTATAGTCGTCTTATTTTGCTTCTTTGACCTAATTAATGCTAACTGTGGATTCTTTAGGCTTATTATGTTGCCAAATTGATGCTAATTCACTTTTTACATGATATTCGGTTCATGTGCTGTTAGGTTCTCATGTCTCAAAGGCTTCATCTTTTTGTGTCAAGGATGCATATGAATTCCTAAGGATGTTATGAGACTTATTGACAACGTAAACAGGGATTGGCTGAATTAGTTGTGATCTAAGGATACCTTGAAGGCGCCAATATTATTTGTGATGGGAAGGCGGTAATTATCTTAGAGGGGGGTAGAGGTAAATAGGTTGATAAAGTTAAATGCAGTTTACAATTACAATGATTATGCTACTAATGAAGATGTACAGAGACAATAAAACACCTTAATCTATTGAGGCAAATCAATTGGCTACTCTTGTACCTAAGGACCCCTCGTGTGGATTGTAGAAATTTTATGATGGTCGACCCTCGTGCTAATATATTTTTACCAAGACTTGCTCTTTGGCTGTCTGATAATTTAATCAATAATGGAAGTAATGAAACTAATAGCTAAGACTATTGAAATTGGTGGCATTGTGGCAATATGTAGTTCTCAAATGGATGCTCTACATTTTCCTTGATCTGAAAATAGCTATATTTACTGTTGAATTACTTAAGCTAATTAAACGGAGTGATTAAATAAAGGCTCTTTGATGATTGGCTTGAGTAACTAATCTGTGTGAAAGTTTAAGCTCAAAACTCAAGTGATGCTTAAGTGAACTTCAGCCCTATACCCAAAGGCTTCAGAAACACCTGGCCTGTGAAGGAAAAAATTTGGGCCATTGTCTTTCAATTAATAAGCTGTTAATTCTGAGTTCAATAATAAGGAAATATTTTGCAGGCCATAGAAGTTCGTAGTTTTTTTCTTATTTATTTTTACGGTGTAGAAAAAACGCTAATGTTCAAATAATTAAGTCAAACTTTAAATCTAACATAGAGTAACTTTTTAACATAATTTACTATCCTTTTTTTTAATGCTTAGCCAAGTTAATTCAGATTTGTTTTTATTTTTGCTGTGTATCCCTTTTGATCCAAAGTTGTTGTAGATAACCAGGACTTCCATCTCACTTAGAATCTGATCTGACTCATTTTCTACGTACTATTTGTTTGATTTTAATGTTAATTTCAAAGTTGTTGCATTTGGTGATGGGTTTTCTGCTTTGTGAATGTAGACCGTTCCTTCTTGTCAGAATCTCTACAGAAATTCGTTTATATACCATTCCCTTCAAGATGACAAAAGCCTACAGTTTGATGATGCTATCCAATTTTTAGGTGAGTATACATCGTATCGGCTATATGTTGTTCCTTTAGTAATTTTATGGTCTATTCTGTTTTATACACGCTTTAGTATGACATGAAGTGTTCATGGCCATTTTTGCTGTTTGCCTTTGTTTTAAATTGAGAGGATTCTATAATATTAACCAAAAACATGTCAGAGAACTGCTAACCTCGGTAGTTTTAACATATATTTTGAACGTTTCAAAGAATAACTGACTAATTTTTTTTTTTTTTTGAGGAAAACTGACTGAAAAATAGTCAAACTTCATCGCTTTAATTTTTTTTCCTCCTTTTTATTTTTTTTAATTCTAACTTTTTTTGTCAGCTAAATTGAATCACCCCAGTGGGAAAGCTCCTGACCTATAAGGCCCTAGTATTAATTTCTTCGGATGCTACAAGTTTTTAAGAATTTTGGAGGCATTTGGTAGTTCCCATGCCTATTACTAGCTTGTTATTTTGTTTAAGCATCAAATACTTAGGTTTCAACTTCGCAAAATGTTTTCAGGAGATTCTTTGATCTTAGAAGAATTATCCGTGATTTTTAGAGATCATAACATGGCAAATTTGGATATTCACATTTAAAGTATGTGGAAAGGGTCAGTAAGAACTTCTATGCCTTTAAAAAATAAGATTGAGATTGGTTATTGACCCAATTGGAAGTGTTGAGGATATGGATTTTTATAAAATAGCTAAGAGAAAAAAATTATCAATTGGGTGCTTCAGTTTCTTCATTTCGAGTAGTATCTTACTTAGAACTTTTAAATGGCAAATCAGTTGCATTGTTAGATTGATGTGGTTGAAAGATCTCTGAGATTATTTGGAGGTTGAAAGATCCTTATGAAGCTGTTTTTTTAGGGTAGCTATGAAGGAAAAGATCCCTGCAGAAGATGAACTCAGAGAAAGAGTTTTCTATATTTCTGTGTTTTCTTTGTGGCACTTAGTGAGGTTCCAACTGGCCTAGCTAAAGATGTTTAAGTTGCTGTGAAAGTGTGAAGAGGAGTCAGGGTGATTTTATTTCTCAAGGAATTTGGAATCTAGTGCTTTTGACTACTTGATCGCTTGTGTAAATGAGAGGAATTAGGCCAAGCATTATATACTATTAATTCAAGGTCTTATGTAGTTGGCGTGAAGTACCTTAGCGGCAAGGCCATGGTTCAAAAATGCGGTTTCGGTTACGATCACGGGAACAATTGCGGTGTCGCGGGAACGCTTATGATGCGTTGATCCAGACCATGTCACGGTTGTCTCGATGCAAATTTGATTTCAAGATAGTAGAGGATTAGAGACATTAGTGAGGTAATATGGGGGCATAATAAAAGATATGAGACATTAGTGGGGAGATATGGGGGAATCTTCACTAATATCTTTGAATAGAAAGTAACTTTTGTGTGAAACAATAGATGTAACTTTCAATGCGAGGTGATCTAGAATTGAAATGTTTGATTCGGACAAAATCACGGGGTTTTTTAATACCCCTTGTTGATGCGGACAATCTCGGTTCAGTCAATTGAATTTCCTTTACAAAACGGCACAACCAAGACGTCTCGGCCTTGTTTTTATACCATGGGCAAGGCTGGCTGCATCCACCTTTCTGTAAATTTTCTGTGAGGATCAAGCTTGATTCCATGGATTGAGTGCTCTAGTTATTGTCTATGCTTTTTTTTTTTTTGCTTAAGAAATTTAATTGACTTCGGGACATGATTTTTTTAAAACCCTAGATGGCCGTCAATAGTGGGTTGGCACCCCTATGGTGACCTTTCAAATCATAATAATTCAGCAAAAAAGTGTGTCAAAAAGTGGATGGTTAAAATAAGAACCGGAGTGTAGTAAGTGGATGGTGTAAGAAAATGGCGGATAAAATAAGACAGTGGACAGTTGTAAACATTGTGGGTAAGAGGGGGGTATGGCCGTAAGGGTAAGGGGGTTTGCCAAAAATGAAATAAACGAAAGTGTTAAGAACTTTTAGAAATTGACCATAATTGAAATTTGGAAAGTGTTAAGATCATTTAGATAAGGAGCTTATTTTAAAAAGTTTTCTTAACCATGTTCATGTGCCATGTGAGCGCTCTTAATTTAGGGGTCTTTCATTTCATGTGTTAAAAAAATATGAATTGTTCGCACTGATGGAAAGTTATTTTTTAAGCAATTTCCATGTTTTTTTCGGGACTTTAACTAGTGAAAGTGACTACACGTTACTTGAGACTGGAGAATGTTTGGCTTCTACTCTGAATTATGTATCTTCTCTGGGTGTTAACGTGTGGCAAGTGTTGCTTATTGACTTATTTCTTTTCTTATTGTGATTTTAGTAAATTTCTCCTGACATGCCCATTCGGCCTTCTCCCAACACCTTCTTCCTTTTGCTGTATTAGATACTCCTTAGTTGAAGAGACACTAATTCTTAGTAGTTTTTTCTTCTTAGGATGATTTGGAGCATATCTTTTGAATGATGAGTTTAGATGGCCTTTTACATCTGCTGATTATGAAGCATGATATACTATGTTACTCACATATGAATGTCTCTTTTTAATTTCCAGTTTTTTTTCCTTCTTCTATTAATAGTGTATATATACTCTTGTTGAATTGTATGATATGAAAGCTAATTATGCTGTTTGTCTGGCAGAACAATGTGAAAGGGAGAAGGGTCGTGTTCTTGTACATTGCATGACGGGAAAGAGTAGGTGGGTTCTCAGAATTAACTGTGTTGTACTATGATTGTATTAACCCTGTTTGCCTATGCCAGCGACAATGCACTAGAAATTGTCAATAAGAACATTTGATGAATAAGGACAATAAGATTTATGCAAATTGTGGTAACTTGCAATAAAGTTTGTGACCATCAGTTCGTCTTTCAGTTCCTCTGTACCTGGAGCTGATATCCAAATAAAATTTTAGAGGCTGATGAGGTGTCAACCCTCAAATTTATGCTAATCAGTTAACTTTGTAGCATGCCAATGACTTCTATTTGTATTCTAGGCTGATTCACCATAACTGAAAAATCATGGACGTTCTCACCCCTATTGGTTCTGAATAAACGCAACCCCTTTATTTCCCCACTTCATTACACATGCTATGCACATATTTGCGTCCCTAATTTTTTATTCGGATACTAGATTGTGAAGTTTCTCATATTGCAGGTCACCCGCTGTAGTTATTGCTTACTTGATGAAATGCAAAGGCTGGAGGCTTGCACAGAGTTACCAATGGGTGAAAGAGCGGAGGTCATCTGTTGAGCTTACTGAAGGTTAGTGCGTATCCTGGTGCATTGTTTTGCTATTTTCTATTGTCAGTATTATATTTTTGAACTTGAAAAGGAGAGAGCCCCAGTTCTTAGAGATTAACACTTCAGTTTATCTCCTCTCACAACTTTATGCATTGATTTCTGTGCCACTTTATTATTTTGCTTTTATCATTTAAAAATAATAAAAGAAAATGATTAGGTTGTTAGAGGAGATATATTCACAGAGAGACTTGAATTTACCCCTTGAAAAGCGTATGAGCTACTTATTTATTAGTTCATTTTAGCTCCCTGTGGCCTCCCAGTCTCCCACACTATGACCGCGAAATAATCACTTTTGGTTTATGTAGCCGACCTACTTATGGGATTAACTGATTAAGGCTTTGATTGATTGATTGTGGCTTCCCACACTTCAATTTAATCTTATAATACGCTGCACTGGACCGCTGAAAGTAAGTTCTATATAAATGTGGAATAAAGAATTCATTGCCAATGAGTTTTTAGCCTGCAACTCAGTATGTGTTTTTAATCAGAAAACCATCTAATATCTACACTCATTTCTTAAAATTTAATTTTTTTTTTTTTTTTTTTTTTGGGGTTATGAGGCATCTAACAGCTAGAAAATTGTAATTATGAGGCAGTCTGGTTTTGCGTACATTGCATATGTATGCATGGTAGTTTAATGCTTTGTGGAGATAATATGCATAATATGGTTGACCTGCCATAATAATTTGGTTAAGGTGATGATTAATTTATTGTAGATTCAGGCTGGGTTGGGTTAGTCTATTGGGTGGGTTTCTGGTCACCTTACTTATTGGGTTGGGTTGGTTCTAAATCAGGTCATATAATTTCTGTTACTACTCAGGTATGGGTCAGTGCTTGGTCTATAGGAGATAAGCTGGTCTTTACAGCATGCAGTGTTACAATACTGACATCTTTTCTTAATTGTTTATTTAGCTATTTCGCAGCAATTGCAAGAGTACGAGCATAAGGTATTTGGGTCTAATGAGAATACAGTTCCAGCCGAGTCTTTCAGCTTTGGGTTTGCAAAGAATGATGCAGTTCCTATACCAGCTTTCAACACAGGAACTGGTTCCTCTATCTTTGACCGTCCTTTAGAAGTTCCTACTCAACAATTTTCCTTTGGAGCTGGTCAGGGTATGAATCAAGCCAATCCCAGTGTCAGTGATGTTTCAATGGGTGGTCCTTGATGCCAGAGCTAGGTTTACCTTTCTAGAAACTTTTTTTTTGTGATACAAAAGCTTCATTCAGACATCAAATACATTTTGATGTGTTACATTTGCTACCCTTTTTTTGTTGGCGTTGTTTGATGTCGAAACCTCCTGGTGTAAAGCTTGTGGTTGGTTCACTGATGCCCTAATACTATATAGATATTACCAATGTCCGAAAAAGGTTATTTTCATTCCTTTAACATTGTGGTGCTTGTATATTTAACATTTGTATGATAGTACATCCAATTAGTACAAGTAATGTTATCCAAAATAGGTGCTGATCCCCCATTTTACGGGGCTAGAGGAGATGAACATGAGCATTGAGCCATTGAGTTCCGAATGATCAGTAATTCAATATGGTGGGTACTATCATTTAGTATATGCAAGCTCACTCAACATAAACTATAGAGGAATTGAGGTTTTTCTTTTGGCCTAAAAGACGGTCCATGATTGTACCGACTTTACTAGCTAACAATATTCTGCCTTTGGCCCTTACCTTATGTGATTTAACACTTTTTGTATTGCTGATAAAGTGATATGAGATGCGTTCTCTTGTTTACCCAAATCCGTAGTAATCAATGTACAACATCATGATAAAATGTTCACCTAAACCATAGCAGACACCGAGTCTTCTACTGATCCAACACCGATATCGGTAGCTCTTTTTGAGCTTGTTGGTGTACAAATATCAACCTAATATTCAATGCTCTCGGTTTCATGTGTGAAAACATAAAGCTCCTATTCAGAAAACCTGCATCTTTTGGAATAAAATGCGATATACTTGTTTGAAACACATTGTAAGTTTCATCATCTGAGGTCCAAATTACCGTGAAAGATTTGATGCAAATCAACTCTTTTACTTTACTACTAAGAAAAAAGGTAAAGAATGTTTTGATGCAAGAGAACCAATCGTGATTGACATTCAAATTTACGCATCTTTTGATAGTTTTGTTGTTTCGTAAGTAATCAGATTTTATTCAAATCTCATGTTGCTGTGAAAAAATTATATTATCCATGGTTTGATACATATTCATAGACATCATAGTTCTAAAACAATGCTTACTAAAAGACTAAGAATTTCGTATGAAGGGAACTAGGGAAGGCCATTCGATGCACAAGCTTTGATCGACTTATCGCATGGAAGGTGCTTGGTGTGCAACTAGAAATGAATTACCATCAACACAGCATATCATTGCCCCAGATTGCTCCCTGCATTACATTCTGATACCCCTGCATTACATTCTGATACAAATTTGTTTGCGACAACAGTTTTGTGTATTTTGTAAAAGCCAACACAAAATCATAAGCATCTTCAGTCGCTATTGCTACCCATCAAATTGAAACATCTTATTGAACTGGAAGTTCGGTCCTCCCTGCAACTGCTACTCAAATTGTAGTAATGCAATAAGAGTTTGATAGAAAAAAAAAAGTCAGGGTTAAAAATTTGGATTGTAAGTTTATAACAGAACCTCGGCCCTTGCTGCATCTTAGAAGTGCTGTTAATGCTCTATCCTAAACTTCAAGAGATTTATCATCACCAAACTGAGAGATCAAGGGCTCTCTCCTCAAACAAAAGATAAAAGCGCTCCAACCCAAAGCAATGTCGTAGCATGTTGGACATCATAACTTTGTATCATTTTACAAAAGGGTTGTAACTTGTAAGGCTGTCCTCGGTCTGTATTCAACACAATAATGAGTAAATGATTCGAAAATATATGAAATATACCTAAGTCACCAACCAAATAAACATCTTTTATTCAAAGACTAGGCATCTTACATACTCAGTGTTGCATCGGTTACAATAAGACTCAGAAGAAACTCTGATAGGGGGCAAGCAACTATATGTGAAATCAATAGTGAACAAATTACAGGTACATATAGCTTAACTTGTTAATAGATCAAATGTACAAGAACATGCAAGCAGGATATTTGCACAAACACTTGACAGTTTTGGAACTTGTTACAAGTGTACATGTAGGCACGTCGCTCAACAATTACTTAGCAATGCTAGTCTCAAGAGATGATTTTGCAAGCCACAGCAAACCTGGATCATTCCTTTTCAACACCAGGTAACTTTCAGCCTTCCCCATTTCATCAGTGACAACTTCTTCACTGAAACCAACCACTTTGAGAACTTCCATGGCAGCTGCACCCAAGACAAATACCAATTCAATATTTAAGATTATAAAACAGAAACAATTCATTATAAACTTCATAAAAAACCAGGCAATAAAAAACTTAAATTTTTCGGAGAACAAACCTTCATGATATGCGACGTTCCTTTGGAAAACAGGATTGGCCTGCAATATTAAGGGAGAGTGGCAAAGGAAAAAAGATTGTTAAGTAATTGAATTCCAAGTATTACAATCCAAACTAGTTTAACATTGTTTTTGGGTGAGGGCTGGGTGATTTTATCCCTAATCTGTCCTAATTTTGCATTGCTAGTTTTTCAGCCCAGTGATAGGAGTTTGCATCAGACCTTCCTTTCTGATGTTTAAAAAGCCATTAAAACTGTCTACATAAACGATGGATAAAGGATCCCCCTTCCCCCCCCCCCCCCCCAAAAAAAAGAAAGGTAACCCTTTGGAGGTTTTGAGGTGGTGTAGTAGTGGAATCCCTCCCTGCCTCAGATCCCTATGGTCTAGAGATCAAATTCCTTTATCAACATTGTTAATCAACATATATACATGCAACAGAACCACATACACATATATCCAAAGGTCACCAAGTCTATTAAATATTATGTTTCAGCACCAATGGCCAGTTGGCCACTGACAGTAGAGGAAGAGAAGGAGAAGCAAGTAGAAATGTTGGGTCATGGCAACTTAAATAAGGAGAAGTTATAATATCACATGCCTAGATTTAATATATTTATGCATGGGCCTCACAAAAAAAATCTGGAATTTCATTTCTTAAAGTTATCGATACAAGCCTCATATATCTCATACAAAAAAATAAATAAATGAAATTTGAATAGAAAGAAAGCTTAACACAAGAATTTCTCAGAGATTGATTGATACCATAATCCTACTAAGTTAACTAGATGATGGAATGACTAATTCTTTTGCCTTTTTTTTTATAATATATATATTTCTAATTATCCAAGAAAATCATTTTCTTCCTTTAAGTTCAAAAGCTGTTATAATTCTTATTAATTAAATTGCTTTCAGATGTCATATTTCATATAAACAGGTGATGTTCAAGACATTTCCGTCAATGGTTCATACACATGAGTTCCAAGGATCACACTAAAACTCAGAGTGCCTGAAAGGAAAAGTAAAGAGAATAAGAATATTCGCAGTATGAAGGGACCATACCTTGCGAAGTTTTTTGTACTTCATTTCATTAGGATTTTCAGATACATTTCTGCAAATGAAAGGCATCATTCAGTCAGCATAATTCCTCTGCAAGCATGAAAACGAGTGAGTCAATATTAGTTTTGATTGACTCACTCGGTAACTTTTTTTTACCAATATATTAACTTGGATAAGATCCTTCCCATGTTCTCCATTAAGGATATGGGGCCTATTGGGACATGGATGATATTCTTACAAATAAAAGACGATACCTGATTATTTTAAACAGAGTCTGTAGGACTGCCACAGCCTCCAAGGGGTTCAGTTCAGTACGCAGCAACTCAATGGCTTTGTTAAGTCGATTGAAAAATACAGCTGCAGGGTCTTGGATCCTCCTTAATTCATCATCTGGATCTGGCTCATCAGCCGTGACTTCTAAAGGTTGCAACAGATGGTCAACCTTATCATCAGATTCAGGTTGGGTTTGCCCTGTAATGTTTTTTAGACAATCATCTGGATCTGGTTCCATATGAACCTGGATTAGTTGTGATTGATTAGGTGTTATGACATTCCCTAAATCATGTTGTCCTTCAGAATCATCTGGATCAGGTTCATCATTACTCCCCAGTATCCTATTTTCATTGTTATCTATCTGCATTGACGTGAGGGAAACAGTAGAAGCAGCCACTCCTTTTTCAGTAACTTCTGAATCATCAGGATCAGGCTCATCACGTGGATTTGCATTATCAAAGCTTCTCCTTGCAGTAGATTGGGAGACAACTGCTTCCAGTCTAGTATCATCAGGGTTGGACTTCACCATAGGTATCCCTACCAACATTTCAGTATAAGGCTCTGAATTCACAGTTCCTCTTGCCTCAGAATTATCAGGATCAGGTTCCAGCTCATCTTGATGAGAATAATCATTATGTTGATTCCAAATAAACAACTCTTCCTTATTCAAGGTATCAACTGGGCTTGGGATCCCAGGAGCATCACCTGTATAATCATTAGAATTTTGCTGCCCATTTGCAGATCCATGATAAATGGAAGAAGAATCTGTCAAACGATGAAAGGCTGCAGCCACAGAAGCCACACGAGCACCAGCAGACATAAGAGAAGCTTCTCCTCCAAGCTTGTGAGGCAAATTGCTATCCAAATCAAAGTCCACATCCATATCATCATGCCCAGAAAATCGAGAATCAGCCAAGGTATGACTCCTTGATTTTGTCCAGTCTAAAGTGAAAGCTTCTTGATTCAGCTGCAGAAATTAAATTTTTGCAAGAACAAATCTCTTATGTGAAGCTGTAGAGGACCACCAAGTCAGCAAATATATGAAATGCATTGAAGAAAGACTTTACCTGTTTATCAAGAGCATAAAAGTTTGCATCATGTTCAGAGTAGACCGTGTGAGCCTGTAACAATGTAAAACATAGTAACATCTAAGTTCCATGCATTAAAATACGACAGCAAGTATGCAACTCCAATTCAAACTACACATGCAAAAATTGCAGTGGAAACATTCTTCTTACTGACGCATTGATCAAAGTTAAGGAGACGTTGCACAATATAAAAAAAAAAAATTAAAAAAAAAAAGCCACACTTCAAAAAAGACTATTGCAGCTAAAGCTCAATATGGAAGGCCAAAACAATCCAATGTCTGCACCTGTGATTACTAAACTCCAAATATTGGACTGAATTGCAGAAATTGAGTCTAATATGAAGCCAAGCCTTCAAGGCCCATCAAACTCCAATTGATCATGAGCTTGCCAACCCAGGTATATGCCTTTAGGCAGAATAATTGAGGTCAGGAAACTTGCACCAACTAACTATTTCAGTAGAATGTTCTCTGAAGTACTGTTATAGCCCAAGAGACTCCTAAGAAGGCAAACAAAAGGTCTTGAGATAAATACCTTAGGAATGCAGAGAATAGTATAGGTGTGCTTTAAGTTAGAGGCAAAAGTTATTGGCATCCATAGCATAAATAAAATAATCCACCTCTACATAGTAAAGCTATATAAATCCCAAAGTTTTCCCTAACCAAGAATGTTATCTCTATGTATCAACAAGTAAAGTGAAAAGAAAGAAAGGGGAACATCATACTTTAACCCCTTCATAGCCCCAAATGAACTTCAAGACTGCCTATTCCCAAAGACCAAAAAGCAAATCCACGACAAGCACCATGTATTATTTTTCTACATATAAACCTAAAGACTTACATCATCTAAGAAGCATTTATTCATCATATTGTAGGCATTGTTGAAGTGTAACTTAACCTTATAACTCTAAACTCATCTAGACATCTAACACAACAATCACGATATTCAAAAACTACATGATGAATTTCCAAAATATATTCAACCATCACAAACAGACTCTGGTTCACTGAAATCCCCTTTAAAAAGTAAATAAAAATTACACACGAAAGAGCCTATCGTAAACAGCAGTGAGGAAACTAAAAGGCCTAAGATCCCAAAACTCTGAAGACATCTAATTAGAGACAATACAAGAGTAATGAAAAGATGGTTCCATACTTCTACACTTCTGCCACAATCCCAATCACAAAGATTTATGAAAGACCTTGAGTAAATCAACCGTCACTCTCTAGACTCTACACTAAAGAAAACTATTAATCAATGGTGAATTCTAAAACGAAATTTAAGTAAAACTATGGTGACTTATTGCCCACTACAATAAAGATAAAGTATAAAACTCCTACTCAAAGGTCTACTCAAGCCCCTCCACCATTAGCTTCCTTTACCTCAATCAAAACACCTTCAAAGAAAGACATGGTCTCTAAAACAAAAATATCTTGGTGTCTAACAGCCATATATCACCTTCAATTAATATATGAAGCTCAGTCTTCATCCTAACATTGACTGACTTGAAAAAGAGTTAACATTGTCCTTGCTTTCAATTGTTACTTCAATCTCCTTTCTGCAAAATACAACTCTACTAAATACTTACAAAGTTAATACAATCACAGTTCTTAAATAGTCAATAAGTTTTTCTTTCCAGGCCACCAGTCTCTATACTGTCATCGCTTTTCAAGGCTGTAATATCTCCAAAATCCAAAGACCTTTTGTACCAATCCTTAAGCTCATCTTTCAAATTTCAACTTTTGGATAAACATTTTCTATCTTTACCATATAGGATATTCAAACATATTTCTTTAAGCAGGAAGCAAATTATCAACTTCATATAGATGAATAACCCACATGTTTTAGAAACAAAAGTGCATAGGAACCAAAGAAAAGATTACACCCACATATAACTGATAATTGACGAGGCAATTCAGACAGCCCTATCACCTATATTCTTCACCAAGCTAAAAATCTCCTCAACCCAATCACAAAGTAAAAAGAGAATGTGTTAATCAAATATCTGCATACCTTGCCAGCCACCATTCAGTAAGCTGAGTATTCTCAAGAGGTTGAAAAAGAAGGCGGCAAACAAAGAATCTAAAAGATAAAGTCAGTTACCCTTAAGCAGAAGACCTAGATCACGCCTACTTTATCACCAAGCAGAATACCCCTTCAAACAAGCTAAGTAGAACACATGCCCTTCAAATCTAAGATCTTATTAAGGAGATCTAATATTACCAAGGATTAGAAGTGTTAGGACCCCCTAGTTGTCTACAACGAACGAAAAAAAAAAAAAAAAAAACGAAGTAAATCATTAGAGCTTAAGCATCCTTTCAAAAAAAAAAAAATGACATGGAGAAAAAGATTTAATCCTAGAAAAGCATCTTCAATTCTTACAGAAGTACAGGGAATCCAAAATATAGTACTGACGTATATGAGAAAAAAAAAAGAACTGATTTTGCAACCTCAATGCCTGCTTGCAGGATAGAATAAAGTGTTCAGAAAATGATAATTACTGCAAATTTTTAAAATTATAATTTTTTTAGCAATGAAGCAATAATTCATGAGAAAAGTGCTTACAAGTTCGTGCAACAAAGTTTTCTTGATACTTTGATATTTCCTGAAACCCTTTAGATCATCAGTGCGTAGACGAAGAGATATTTCCTCCCCTTGATTCTGCAATCAAATAAGCAACACATTAAGAACAAAAGAAAGACACGAGCTAACAAAAGCAAAGACCTTTTGATGATCAATTATCAACACATAATAAATTAGTTGAGGTGTTCATATACCTTGTTTAAACCAAGAACACATCTCGGGCTAACACCAACATAACCAACAGGCGCCATCTCTGTCATGATCCCCACTCGCCAACGATACTTCAAGGAACCACAATCACATGTGAAAATAAAGTCCAAAAAGATAAGAGCATTAGCAAAAATCTAACCTCATCACTAAATCACTACCTTGTTCATGATGGCAACAATTCCTGGGTCAGCTGCAAGCATATGCATTCTCTTCATAGCCTCCGAGGGAGGAGGATTTAACTAGTAAAAGAAAAAAAGGAAATAAGAAATATGTGAAGTTTCTCAAAAAATATTCATTATATACTTCTTTGCATTTAAGATGACCTTTGCTGTTTGACGAAAGTTTTTTTGTTTTTTTAAACATTAAGTCTGTAACTACCCATACTTTATCTGCACAAAACAAGATAATATAGGAAAAAAATAAGTACCACAACTCCAGGCAGTTCAAGTGTACGAAAATTGCAGAAGATGTAAGGTCCTTGCGGGAGTTTCAATGAGGAATGGGATCCCCTGGACATCCGTTGTTTCATCCTCTTTTCCTCTTCCTCAAATCCAGCAATTCTTAGGTTTGCTTCAGCATCTTTAAGAACATTATCAATCTCATCTTTGGAGACTCCCATCATTCTTAACGGCTTCCCCTGACAGCACATATACGTATGAGTCCAAGTCCCACTCAAAATATTTTGCACCAATGCTTCATCCATAGAAAGAAAATACTTCCTCTAATTTTTTATCACTGCAACATGTAGGGAATGAACATATTTCAGGAGCTCATGGGATGAGGAGAGGGATATAGAAAAAAAGGGGGGGGGGGGAGATGTGATGAGAAGAGAATGAAAAGAAAACATTTGCAAATAAGGTAATCAATTAATATTAAACTTCCACAAAAAGAAGAATACTGAAATTTATAAAAGAATGACGGAGCCAGTCTAAGCACTAGCATTCCGGACATTATCATTAGCCATAATTGACATCTTAAACCACATTAAATAATACATCTATCTAAGACAAGAAATAATCTATACACTTGTATAGTTGTATGAATAAAGGTATAAGAATCAAGATGTGAGTATAGACCTCTACGATTCCAGTATCTCGTAGGCTTAGACTGCAATGCTCGTCAGAGAAAGGCATCAACAATTTCGAGCTTTTGGTGGAAGGCAGAGAAATAATCAATCTAATTGTATCAGCTTTAACATCAGTCAAGGTCTGCAGTTCCTCCCCCAACTCCTTGAGAGAGGCCTCTGGATTAATTTTTACCTCAAACTTCTTTCCCCTCCATATAACAGGAACAGTAATAACATTTTGATGCAGCACCATAATTTTCTGTAAGGAGATGGAATAGTAAGTCAGCAAACAAAACTTCCTATGACAGACACTTGATCTAGAAAAAAAATAGTATTTAAGCACTAAGAATACTTTGAAGTGCATGCATGATAAACCAGCAAACAATACTGTAACAAACACGCAAGCAGTCCTAATTTTCAGACTGCCAACACATAGCACTGAATGATATTTGGTTTCTTTCAATATAAAATCACGACAACATGATCCATTTAACACCAATGTCTATATATCCCCATCTATCATGGAAAAAGGACAGCAAATTAACCAGTTCTCAATATATCAACAACAAAGCCTGGAGTTAATCGACTCCATCAATATAAAACAAACTTCCCATCAATTTAAACCTCATTTTCCATGATGTCCCTGGTTCCTTTTTACATGCTATATGTACTTAATGAGGGGTGCAAGATAGAAATTAACCACACCGACAAATCTGTCATTCACTCATTAGGCATGACTGCAAGGGCTTTGACTCTGAGATGTGCCATCTAATAATTGGTATCTTCTGGTTGCAAGCTACATTATAGATTTGAATTTTGATCATAAATGGCATTACATAAAACTACATAAATCCAATAACTTGAGGCTAAAATTAATGCCACTGCAAAGTTCTCCTGTATATTCCTGCAGTCCAGCATGTAAGTTAAACAAGTTTTCGATAATTGCACCAAGCACATGGAGGAAATGCCAAGAGTTCAACAAAAATTGTTGCAATTGGTCTGCTTATCAAGTGCAATTGATCGTTTCAACCGCTCTTATCAGTGCATTCTTTATGGGAACTGAAAGCTTACTAGCATTCTAACAGGACTGTAACAGCCTAACATTATGCTATGTACATGTAAAGCATGAGCAATTGGCAGCACAAACTCACAGAGGAAAAGGGATCGACAAAGTGCCACCCCATGGGCAAGAGCGCATCAGCAATTACCTCCAACTGCATAACCCTTTTTGTACTTCTACGTGCATCAATTCGAACACGGAACTAATTTCTATCTACAAACAACTATAAACAAACCAGGTGTCTACTCATCATGGTTTACTGTGACGAATTGAGACAAAGTCGATTATACACTTGGGCGTACCATGCACACAATCCCAAGCACTAAGAAGAAACCTCCCCAACCTAAAGTTCTATACTTCTATGTATAGACTACAAAACAAATTAACAAGTTCATAGGAATCCCAAATAAACTCAATCCCTCAAAATCCCTAATTCCCTTAATACCCACAAATTGCAATCTCAAAGGTTCATAATTCAGGAAACCTTGCACAAGAAGACACCCAAAAATCACCCATTTCAAATTACGCAATGAAACCACTAAACAATCAAACCCAGAAAACATATTGAAGCAGATGAAAAGGACAAAATTAAAAATACCGAACTGCAAAACAACAATTAAGTGCCCATAATTAACTGCAAGCCAAATTTGAAACAGCGGAAATCACAATTTATTCAATGATCATCATTTTTGAGAGAAAAAAATAAATTAATTAAAAAAATTGGAACTTTGAAATAGAAATGAGATGATTGAGAAGTAAAGGAGCAGATACCTGTAAAATTAAAGTCGGTGAGACTGAAAATTGAGACTTCGATGATTGTTATGGTAATGAGAAATAAGAAAATTGAGAGTTGAATTGAATTGAATTGAATTGAATTTTCCAACAATATATAGTGTTTGTTGTTTTACTTATTTTAAGTTGTTTAAATATTTGGGCTAGAATTAATTAGATAGGTGGTTAAGGTGGCGGTTGTGGCGTATTAGTGATGGTCAGCTGTGATGTCATTGGTGCTTTTCTACAAACTTTTGTTTATTTGGGTGGTGCTCATAATTCCAGATGTACTTCAAGTTTCAACAGTAAATTTGTGTTCTCGAGGATTATGGGATTCATATCATATCGGATTATATAATCGAAAAACTAATAGGACCGGTGATGTAAATCGATCTTAGGATCATCTGAAATTAGGAGGAAAACTCTAACCACTTGAATTATTTGTCATTCTCTTGTTAACTTCACTATCATAGATTAGACATTAATCTTGAGAGAAGACATAGTTAAGGGGAGTACTAAATGCAGGACATTTTTACCTAAATGCAGAATAAGTTATTTTTTAAAAATAAATTATATTCCAATTTTGTCCTTGTTTTAACTTAATCCTTTACACTTTTTTTAAATGATTAAAATTAAATCATGTACACTCCTAACTATATAATCATCTCAAATGTTTAATTTACAACCATATTCTAACGTATTCAATCTTGTATCCTATTTAATACGGAGTATTCAATACTATACAAATTCCTAGACAATAATGAAGTGCACTACGACAATTTTTTGAGGTATGAAAATTATGTGCTGTAATAGATGAACAATCGCACAACATAAAATTTCCACCTTATACGGCTAAGATTTTTAAAGGTCTCTAGCATCCCCCTTATACAATTTCCGGGGGTCTCAAGTACCCCCCAACTAGGATTTCCGGGGGTCTCTAATACCCTCTGGCTAAGATTTGCGGGGGTCTTCAGTACCCCCCGGCTAAGATTTCCGGGGGTCTGTAGTACCCCCGAAAAACAAAGTCAGGGTACTTGTAATGAAAAATTATAACAATTCAACAAAAAAATTAAACGAAAAAAAACCTAAGACCGGATGGTTTATGAGCGGTGAACGACTTCTTCGTCTCTAGGGCTCAAATTGAAGAATTTTAAGGGAAATGGTGGAATAAAATGAATTGCAAAAAAAAAAAAACAAAAAAAAGGTAACTGAAATTGTGAACGACATGAAAAAAATTGGCAAGTATAATGAATTGCAAAATTAAAATGTAAAAACAAAAAGTCTGGTGAAATGGCAAATCGGTTTTTTCATTTTGAAAAAGGGTATTTCAGTCATTTTATTATTTTCATATCATTAATTAATTTCTGCATTTAGATTATTTTGTACTGCATTTAGTACTTGCGATATTTAATTGTAATTGTGTACTCATGTATTTTATTTTATTTTATTTTTCTAAAAAAAAGTCCTAAAGGACACTAAATTTCATTAATTAAAGTCATACGACATCTACAATTGACAATTAACGATAATGAAAACGAATTTATAAAATCAAACAAGAATTAATCGGGAAAGGGCTCAGAATCCAAGTACATAAATATAACAATTCGGCACATTCTCGATTCGTTGTCTAATACAACTTTTTGAGTGGATCCGTCGTTGCTTCGCAATTTTGTGAGAAAGTTAATTCTTATGCTAATTCCGCAACCCGAATCCGAGTCATAATCAATCGTAGCCCCACACAATCGGAAACCAAATTAAACACAAATAAAACCTTGTCTTTCGAAGCAGATCGAAAAAACCTTGTCTTTAGAAGGAGATCGAAAAAACCTTGTATTTTGAAGGAAGTAAACCCTTTCTTTCGAGGGAGACATTATTGTAACCTAAGAAACAAAAAGTTTAAAAGAAAATAAAGATTGAGGCTTTTCACCGGTGAAATCCGATGAAAGCCCCTTCAAAATTGACAATGGAAACTAGAGTTTAGGAGAGAGAAGAGAGAGAAGAGGCTAGGGTTTATTTTATTTTATATTATTATTATTATTATTATTTTACAAAAGGCTAGGGTTTACTTCTTACCAAGCATTTTTTATATTATGGTCGTTAACTAGTGGAACATTTTTAAAAGTGCAGCAAAATATTTTGACTTTTACCACCTCACAAAAACACAAAAATTTCTTTTACCACATCTAAAAGTTTTATTTTACCACCTCATAAAAAAAATAAAAAAATAAAAAACTCGTAGATTTTACCACCACAACCTAACTCCGGTGTCGGAAAGTTGTTGTGGGCTCCACACTAATCGCTATTTTTTCAAATTTACCCCAATCTTCCTCGATTATCTTGTATAAATAACCCAGGTGCCACTTTTCGTCAAAAAAATCCATGAAATCTTTTTTTTTTTTTTTTTTTTTTTTTTGCGAAATTTCTTCCCAAATCCTCAAATTTGCTCTATCCTTTCAATCTTAGCATCCAATTGTTTCAGATTCGTGCTCATTTAACAACGTCCTTTGAGAGGGAAATTGGAAGAAGGTACGAATTTTAGTTCAATTGTAAATACCATGAATTAGCATGTATATATTCGCAATTCATGTCGTGATTATGTTCCAATTGTTATGTATCATTGGAATTGTTGATACGACTTATGAATTGAGCCCCAACTTCATATTTTAAAAATTAGGGTTCATGTTAGTATCAATTAATTTGGGGTTTTTTAAAATTACAATTGGTTAATGTAATTAGGGTATGGAAACAGTGGCGGAGCCAGGAATTTCTGACCGGGGGACAAATGAACCTCGCTTAGTTTGACAAAAATATTGGAGCAAATTAAATTATAGTTAAAGTTTTACAGCTCGAAGTTATTAAATACGGAGTACGTAGTAAAAAAATCAACATCATATAATTTTCCACCATAAACGAATTTGACTAAGGGTTCATAATTTTTTGAAAATTTTCAACAATAAATAATGTAACTATTTAAATGGAAAACTTGTCATAATTATCTATTACACTCGTAATTTGAGTTAAGGTTCATGCAAAACTACAATTACAATGATTCAAGTACGTATATGAAGTAATTATTAAGAAATAACTTGAAGTAATACTATCTCATACATTTAAAGTACAATTACAATTATTCAAATAAGTAAAGGATTACGGAGTAATTGTTAAGAAATAAATTATAGTAATATAAACTATAAGAAGTGATTTGGTATTTTTATACCCGGCCAAGTGGCCCAATCGGAAGCCGCCACGTGTCATTGACAGAGGTGCCACTTGGACCTTTGAGATGGTGACACGTGGTAGGCAGCCATCCCTCCGTTCTGGGATGATTGATGATCCAAAATGGACCATTAGGAGGGTGACACGCGTCACCCTAAGAGGCGCCCAAAAGCCTTTTGGGATCAGTGACACGTGTCACCCAGATATTGCTTCTGGAATGGCGGCTTTCAAGGGCCCAAACCTTGAGGCGCCGTTTTGCGACGTGCCTAATCCCTAGGTCATCAAATCCTAGGGAGGGCACACTTTTCCATGAGATCCTATAAATAGGGACAATTCCCTCTTTTATTACAACACACACAGAACACGAGACAACACGTCACATCCACATTTATTACAAAGCTGTCGTTTTCAAGAAACAGACAGCACCTTACCTGAGCTTGGAATCCGAGCAGATAACTTTATTTCCGCAAGTTTTACTCCGAATACTTTACTAACTTAATCTTCGGAGGCGGACCACCGACCATCCGGCGGTCCGTTTGCTTTGCAAGTACAGGCGCCCTTTGCTGAATCCAACCTTAGTGTTGTAACTCTCCCAAGGGAAAAAACCCCCCCGAAACATTTGGCGCCGTCTGTGGGGAGAGTACCTCTGAGATGGCTTCACAAGTCCCTGTACCGAATCCTGAGACCAATCGGCCTCCAGAAAACATAGTGGTCCAGACAAACCATGACTCAGGGGACGACGCTGATGTCGAAACCTATGTAGATCCTAACGGATCCCTCATCTCTAAACGCATCCGCAGTAAGGAAAAGCGGGAGCGTCACCTTGACCAGGCAGGACCAAGAAAAACTGCTGGTCAGCCAAAGAAGCCCTCGGGGCGGACGGGTGATCCTTCCCAGGCGGCAGGATCAACCCCCGTTACTCGAGATGAACTTATGAAAATTTTGAGCAGTCTCAGGGGTGAAATCAAACAGCTTGCCTCCAAGAGGTCGCCTACTCCTAGAAAGAAGCAGTCGGCCAGGAAGCCAGCTCAAGATGGCAAACAGAAGTCAGTCAGGGACTGCCAGCCGACTCCTCATCCTGCCCCTACGGAGAAGGCTCGGCCCCAATTTGACCTCACCAGGCTCTGTTTCCCAGAAACGGGTATAAGAAAAGCCATCCGGCACATACAGCCGGATGGTAGCAAGAAAACATTCTCTGATGCTCGACATTACATTGAGCAGAAGAAAACCCAGCTATCAAAGTTGGCTTCAACGTCGACCTACCATGATAGCTTTCGGAATACCTCTGCGAGGTATTCCCAGTCTGTACATGAGACCCCAGCAAGCAGCCCACGGGTTCAGTCTGGCCCTCATGTGATTCAGTCGGCCCAGTACATGGCTCCGCCATTGTACCAATCGCCTGCTTTACCTTACATGCAGCCTGCCCTCTTTGGAGGCCAGGCGGCATACGGCTATCAGCCGATGGATTGGCAGCTCAGGCTGCAACACCTTAGAGATCAACCCTCTGCTTTCTCCAGGGAAATAACCAAAGCCGAACAGCCGGCCAAGGTTAAAAATGTTTTGGTTGGAACCTATGACGGGACCTCCAACCCAGAAGACCACCTGCTAGCATACACCCACCTCATTTATTTACAAGGGTTGGATGATGCCGCACGGTGTCGCTGTTTCCAAGCCACTATGAAGGGCATAGCCCAACAGTGGTTCG